TCACCGACTTTAAAATTACAGGCACGTGGGACTTGTGAACTTATTACTTATGTAGGGTGACGGGCGCAGTGGCAGTGCTCCTCAGATCTTTGCAACTTAAAGCTCTGAGTGGCACTGCAACTGTTATGGACAGGTATGTAGCTTACCATTAGGCTCACGACTTGTTCGTCCCGTCACTTGATATAATAAAAAACGGAGGAGGGTCTCAATTCGATTATATATATATATACATATATATATATATATATATATATATATATATATATATATATTTAATGCGATAACTCCGGCGGTATTTGTGAACCGATTTTGATGATTCTTTTTTGTTGGAAAAGGGTAACTCTGTAGTGGTCCCATTTCAAGAAATTATTCCACTCCCAATGGTTGCAAACTAGGGGATGAATCCGGTTGTGCGCACTTTCCAGAAACCGATTTCATAAGAGCTTAGCATATTATGTAATTCCACGAACCTTTGAGGTCGGTTTTTTAGTATTCTGTACTGAGATTATAGAAAATAAGCTTCTTTTTTGTTAATGTAGAATAGAGGGAAACTTGAACCCACTTTCATGAAAATAAAAATGAATCTAGTCTTGAAATTCAATTTCGATCGTTTCATGATAACTAAATTGTTTTCCTTATAGACAATTATCTAAATTGTGGAAAAAAATAATGGTCGGTAGGATTCAAGTGAAATGTATATGGAGAGCGACGAGGAGCTTGCAATCTGCAACTTTTCTAAGTTACAAAAGGTTTGTTCGGCGGTATGCGCTCTGACGTTATCTTGTTAAAACTTGTGAAGATTGCTTAACTAGCCGTAGTTATTTCTCTACTAGTTTTCTCAAAGATCGATTGTTGTAGTAGTCCTAGACCTAAGGAAGCTAATTCTCAATTCCTGCGTAATTTGCTATGAATCGGCTTCAACAATAGCTTGCAACTCGTCATCAAAATTGATCAGTACTCAAAAATAAGGTTAGATGTATTGTATCCGCGCCATAGTGCTGCATTCATCCACGACGGAACTCACTTTAATAAATGACACATTTTAATAGTATATTATAAATATACCCTTCGATTTGAAAGCGAATGCGAAGCAAACCAAAAAGGAAACAAAAAACATACTGTCGAATTGAGAACCTCCTCCTTTTTTTGAAGTCGGTTAATAAAAAGCAATGAAATATTTAGTTTAGAAGCCATAAGAGTTTGTTTTAAAAAGTTTGTAATTCGAATCTTTTTTAGTGACTTCGCTTAATTTCAAAATCCTCCGAACATCCAGTTTTTCTCGAACTTTCCGGTAACCGATTTCATTAAAACTTGGCAAATAGATGTAATACCACGAACTTTTGAGGTCGTTTTTTTAGTACTTTGTACTGAGATTACATAATCTCAGTACAAAGTACTAAAAAAAATGTCATAAAGACACAAGATATTTTCCATACGTGACGATTCACGTTACCTACTTTCACTGGATCGTCGTGCGAACTCATAGATTTCTGCGATGCGACGTCGCATCACAGTTTTGCGTGAAAAAGTTGCCGACTAACTTTGTTTTCCTAGAATCTTTAAACGTGTCTCGTGAAAAGTTGTCATTGTGTATACTGCATGACGTCACGAACTTAAAATCTATAAATAAGTTATAAAGTAAAAATGACTAAATAGAACCTTCTTGGAGGAGACCCGTATCCAGCAGGGAAACATATAATGATTGACGATGATAATGAAAACGTGATAAAATAAAGAAAATTGGATCCTTATTATTGTTTAGTATAAAAAAAATTACATAAAATTAATACCAAAAATAAAGATTATTTACGTACTAAAATATCGAACGCAATTTTTCTCGAAATTCCGAGCATTTTTATTGTTGACTCAGAATCGTATTACTCTCCCGGACATATAATTCGAGCCACCTTGTATTTTCAGTATTAAATGGTTAAGCTTAACACGCTGTTGAGCAACGTCTCATAAGGTTATCAAAATTATAATTGACACAACGTATAATCACGTCTACCTTAAATGTGCTTTTTAATACGCTCTACGTTTATCGACACCGGAACACAAAGTAAATTCTATAGGCTTCATTTGTGCACCACATGTTAAACAATGTTTGTTTGATCAAAAACTATTGTGCCATTTTGAAACTGATATACTACACATCGTTTCCATATATCCTTGTTGAAAATTTGAATTTGAAAACCCGGGAAACTCATTCTTTGACGATAAATATATATATATATATTTATCTATATATATATAGATAAATAATATATTATATATATTATTATATATACTTATATATATTATATATATATATATATTTTAGATTCGATGAAATATTTGTAAGACCTACATTTATTACTCTCGTGAGTTTGTATGTAATTTGTGGTTGTCTATGTGTATCCCCGTGCCACACTCGATACAGGGTCCTCCTAGTGCGGGGCTATGAGTGTGTGTGTGTTATTTAAAAAAAAATTGTATTCTAGCCCTTTAACAATAAGTATTCAATGTGGCTCCAAAAATGTGTCCGGGCGTGTATTACATGTCGCGAGAAATAACGTTGAAAATAGGATTTTTTATTAAGTATATAGTTGGACAGGTATATATCACATATTCACGTTTAACATGGCATCAACTCCAATTTAGCTTTTCAATTTCCACGTCGCCCAAACATATAAGTATGTATAAAAATTACGAGTAAATTTCGGGTGAATATAAATAAACAGGCGTACACACCTTGCCAATTTGATTGTTGAATTATTCATGATGTCTCACACGAGCCCACCTGAGCGAGGTCGAGGGGAGAGGGCCCTCGGCATACTAGCGTTACCTAGAATAAAGAATATTAAAGCAGTATACTATCTTGCAATTTGCTGACTTCGTATAGGTTAATGACGATAATAATTATGAAACTGTAATAGTACAATTTTAAAATAAAAACGAATAGAAACCATTTGTTACAACGCCACAATAATAATTCTTTATTTCGGACCATTAAAAATATCCATAGTACGTTAGTACGAGAATTTAAAAACAGGGTTACTATAATACAATGCAGACTTAACTTATTACTACACTATAAATTGGCCTTGGTTTATCCAGAATTTTACAGTTGGACAGTCAAAACTCCCCGCTATTACACTTACTCTTTTCCCGTATTACGGCCTAGAAGCTGTCCGTGTGAGCTTCCGCAAACATGGCCGAGGCACTGCACCAGTGTGGCAGCCCCATCAGCACTTTAAATGCGCTGTTATATTGAAAGCGCAGGGCGCCATAAACACGTTTCGTATACCTCACCCACAGGCTGTAGTAGAAATAAAAATAAAATCTTAATAATGAAATGACAACGCAGCAAAAACATTAAATAATGAACACTATTAAAGTAGATGTCATGTGTGCGGCTGTGGTGTATGTAATGTCGCCGCCATGAAACGGCTGTGACACAGATCTTATGAATTACTGTTATCAATTTAAAAATTTATTTATATAAAATAATTATGCTTATAAATCGACCTACTGGCGTGTTTGAAATTCATTAAAAAATTATAAGTTACAGATATTTGTAGACTACGAGTTACAAAAAAATGGCAATACTTCTTAGTGACTTCACAACCATAATAGTACCATGTAAGCTACATCCAAAGGATCGTTTTGCTAAGCAGAAACAGAGCATACCCCTAGCACCGACTTTACACATCAAGATCTTTGGTATTAATTGAGATATTGATAAACGAAATTAAGATTAATTTTCATCATGCGTGTAAATACATTTTATTTGTGAAATACTCTAAACAGGTAATAACAATAATTTATGTAAGAGATTGTATCACTGTTCTCATTTGTGTAAGCTACGGCCAGATAGCTGGGGGAAATACGAGTAACGAAATGGGCAACCGAGACACTAGCTCATTTAAGGGCTCGAATAAAAAAATATCGCGACTTATTATTGCAGCAGCAAAACACTGCTTATGGCATCATTATAGCCTCACATGGGCAATGGGAGTGGTTTTTTTTTACTTGGAGTCTATCTAGAACAATATTGGTACTATTATATAAATAATTAAATATTTTTAAGATTGATATACTCGATATATAGATTGAAATGAACCTAGTAACATTGAATTGTGTCCTATTTAAAAAAAAAACAAAATTTAGTTAATTTTTTTATAATATCAAGTGATGCGACGAACAAGTATGTACGCCTGGTGGTAAGCTACACGCCTATCCATAGTAGTCGCCGTGCCACTCGGTACAGCTTTAAGGCTGCTAACAGATTGATTCCATGTTTATTGTTGATGCGTGAAGTTGTAATCAACTTCATCGAGGTCTCGGCTGCATGAAGTTGACAACGACCTCACGCGTTAACTGCATGCAGTATATCTCGGCTACATGAAGTTGGATTCGACTGCATGTAGTTAATGCGTGAAGTCGTTATCAACTTCATGCAGCCGAGACCTCGATGAAGTTGATTACAACTTCACGCATCAACAGCAAACATGGAATCAATCTGTTGTGCGACCTCGATTGGATGAAGTTGATCTGAGGGGCACTGCCACTGCACCTGTCACCCTGAGACAATAGTTGACAAATATGCCTGATATAGGTGCTGGTGAAATTCATCAGCACCCTTACCATTCAAAACTTGAATGCAGTAATGCTCACATTAATGCTTGGCGGCAGAAACAGGATGGCTTTACTTCCCTTGGCGAAATCTTTCACAAAAATCTCTACTGCTACTAAATTATCGTAAAACAGTCGAAATTGAATTTCAAGACTAAATTCATTTTCATTTAGTAGTAGATTCAAGTTCCCTTCTATTAGTACTTCAGTAAGTACAGTACTTCCCTGAACGAGCTCTTTCACAAGGAGCTCTACTACTTTCATTGTAAATGCACAATGTAAAATAAAATTAAATAGAGAATACAAAAAGTACGCAGTTAAAATTTAAAAAAGTTTTACCTTTTTCATCATTACTCGAAAAACAAATGTGAATGTCAGCCGAGTCCTGTCAAATGAACTCAAACAGTCGGGGCACAATGCGCTTCCTGTAAAATATAAATAAAACACATGGCAACTGTTTGGAAGTTACTGCAATCACCAGAGGAATTCTACGCCGAGCTCCAAGACCGATGTGATTTAGCCGAGGCACGTCGTCTGGAAAGATACAAAGCTGTGCTATTGATTCAACGATATACCAGAGGCTACCTGATCAGGAAATGGGTAGCATGGCTGTCGTACAACGCTACCATTATTCAATGTGCGTTCAGGATCCACCTCGCAAGAAAAGCCCTGCGCGCGGCTTTGAGGAGAGCCGTAAGATCGAAGCATGCCAGGTTCTATGCTTTGGCCGCTACAAAAATACAGGTACATTTGTTTTACTTATTTTAGAATAAATAATAAAATTGAGTGAATAAGCGTAGGTAACGATTTAAAAAATGTGCAAAAGTGTTAATAAATAGAAAATATATAATATAGTAATTTTTTTTCGAATTTACGGTATATCTATTGTAAATAAAGGCTTAATGTAGTATCTTATAAATATCCGGTATGTCTTCTTCAAATTATTAAGATTGTAATAAAAAAAATGTTTGTCGCAGTCTTTATGGCGTGGTCACTATTCGAGACTATCAAAGTTCTGCTACCGCTCTTACCGAAGATGGCTTCGAACGGTAACCGAACGTGGAGACCGCCGGGCGGCTGAAGCTGCTGAATTCGGCCTTCGAAGTCGAGTTGACAACCTCAGAATTTTAGAGGAAGAAGCCCGCCAATGGTTGGCGTTTGTCGTCTTCAAATTACACCACTTGCTTAGAACCCAGAATTGCGCCGGTGTCTTTTCCGATAAAGCTTCAAACGAACTATCCGAATTCGAACAACTCTTAAAAGCCATCAAATACACGGACTATATGAAACGTTTGCGTCTAAAGTATGAAGAATTCGTCAAAATACACAAAGCGAAATTTTCAAACAAAAGGTTATTTCCGGTAATAGGTGTCGGTACAGATTATTGGTATTTATCATTACCAGAAATGTATGAATTAACAGCGCCTTCTGAGAAACCAACGGATCTAACGAGACATTTAGCATTGCATCACGGTAAAATTCATAAAGTACCATTCTTATGGAGAAGTGTAAAACCACCGTGTTTCATCGAAGGCAGAGGCCCGTATACTCCACAAAAAGCATTGAAAATCGTAAATCCTCCTCCACCGTCTCCCACACCAATTCCGGTGGGCGATTCTGAGCACCGACAGGATCCTAGATTTTATTTATATGTTAAATATTACAAACCGCGGCGTGATGTTTTAGATTACATTGACTACCATATAAATGTGGTTTTAACACGAAGATGTTCCATCCAGAAAATGGATATAAAATAAAAAATTGGAAATTTTGACCATCGAATTTATCCGAAAATTATTGTTCGACAACAATATTAATAACGCAACAACGGTTTGTTTGAAAATACTTGGTTTTTAACACGGTTGCGTATTATTTCGTTCCTTTTATTTTTCTCGCTCGGAAATCCGTAATCAGGCTGCTAAGTTTGGAAGGGTCGCCGTCCGGATGTTGCGGGCCGCGAGCCTTTTGTTGTTTCGCTTTTGTTGTTGTGAATTTTACACTTGTAATTTATTTCAGGAAACGCCATGGTGAGAAAGAAATTACGTTAAACTCTCCAAGGAAAATGTGTTTTGTAAATTAACGTTTCGCTTCCGTAGGTTTTCGGGATTGTGGATTTTATTTCATTGTGTTGAATGTGTTATTAAGAGTCACGTTCTGATTGGGTGCCCGCATTTGCAGAGGAAATTAGAGTATTTACGTTTTACATAGGGTCTCTAATTCATGTTATATTCTAGCTGCCGAACCCTCTGACGTTTGCATTGCAAATTGTGAGGTTCGGTTTTATTTCCCTAATTAAAAATACCATTGTTCAGTCAACAACACACTGAGTTTTACGCGATTCAAATTCGACTCTCTGCAATTTGCTATAAAGATCGTTCATAGTGTAAAACTTGAGGCGCTGTTGTCTGTACCTATGTTGTACTCAATTTTGATTAATTTTCTCGGATGCAAAAGTATAAGTAAAGAACTCCCCTTTCTGCTTTTGTGAATAACATAATTTACTGGCAAGCCTACCGCTAATAATGCCCGACTTATTTGGAGGCCACACGTCTTCAAACTCATTTGTCTAACAACGCCGGTTTGACATGCCAAATTTATTAGGGTCAGACAGAATAATACAGGTTGTGGGTTTCTGAACCGAGTCCTTATTGCAGCCCGTCTTAGGTACCCATTTGTTAGTCGTATAATGGTTGACCCACTTTACTTATGTGCCAAGCTGTTAGAGTGGGTGTGATTTGCGAAGCCGCAGACAATTCGCCATCGTTTTAATAATGAACTCTATTGAGACGGTGGGTTAATCCAATATCGATTGCGCTCTCAAGGTCGGAAAAGTAGTGTGATGGCGAAATGTGGCTTTATGTTACACTGAGTATTGTGAAGTTTCGTGAAAATTGTGACCTTGGGGAGGGTGTTCGGCGCATGAATAATGCATGGGGCTTATTTGCAAGTGTATCAATTTACGGCGCCGACACCCACGGTGCTATGCGCGGAGAGGCAGGCGAAGTGCGAAAAAGAACCAACGAGTGCACTCTCGCTGGAGCGTGGGCTCTCGTTTGTATTAGTAATATTTTTTTCAACAGTTGCGTAAACATGAATAGCATGACTTTTAAAACCAGTAATGTGATTTTGAGTATATTCTATCGTTGAAATCGATGAAAACGCCAGCTGACTATGTATGCATCTATTGTAATAAGTCATAGAGATATTTTGTAGTAATGGAGCTCCTTCTGAAAGAGTTCGTCCAGGGAAATACTGCCACTTAACCTATTTTGCCGTCAAGCACTAATGTGACCATTACTGTGTTCTGGTTTTGAAGATAAGGGACCTGGTGAAATGACTAGCACATGAGACTCGTCCACTTATGTCTCAAGCTGACGGGCGCAGTGGCAGTGCCCCTCAAACATTTGCGATTTAAAGCTCTGGGTGGCACTGCAACTGCTATCGATCGGCGTATCGCTTACAACTAGGTACATGATTTGTTCGTCCCTTAGATATAGAAAGGGTTCGGCCCGTCACTTGATCTCATTAAATAAATAAAGAAATAGTTCTAAATTAGATTTTACTAAAGTATTTTTTCCACAGTATAATATTTTCGTAAAATGTACGTTAGTTCGCTTAAAATGAAATAATCCTTTTATAACAGACAAAAGATAGAAGCTGTACTTCCGCGTGCATTCCCACAACTCGGCGAGTCATTTCACCGAGTTCGAAATCGATAAGAAATTCCGTGATCTGTATAAAAATGCGGGACTCGGCGGTAATTAGTGATCCCGGTATTGCCCTGAGGTCCCGGAGTATCTCTGGAGTGTGGTGGAGTATGCCGCGGGTATGCGAACGTCGTTGGGACGCGATAGCACGAAGATCCGTGCTTGGGTTGCGAGACGGGTTAAAATATTATTTTTCACAATCAAAAAGGGTTATATTTTGTGTGTAATAAACAAGAGCCAGCAAACGTTGACTCAAGGCATAAATACCTACCACTTTTAACGTTTGTTTCCTATTACGTATAAAACAGTTTACAGTTAAAGTTATCTTTATATAACCGCTATAAAGAAACCTAGACGGCTAACCATGTAATGCTTATACTCTACTTTTCGGTTTAGTATTACCGTTTAAACTAATGTTAGGAACTAATATTTGTCTAACTTTTGATAGTCTCACCGTTTAACCTACTACATTTACTGCTCAACTGTCAAAAGGTTTACACCCAGAAAAATATATAACGCCACTGGGTTGTTTTACGGCTTACGTGATTAGCTTGCATCTCTAACATTGTCATCATTCTGTTCATCTAATTCAGAGGTACTCCAACCTTTTGTCTCGCACGCCACTTTGTTTTTTATCTGTTTTATAATTTCATCTACTTTATGTTACTCGCAGTACTTTTCCTTTTCATAAATTTAAACGATTATTGCTCCATATTTTGTTTGTTGTGAAAGTTTACTTCATAGATAATTTATATTGTAAGATATTAGATGTAGTGGGAATATATTGTATATATGCATGGTACCATCAGCGCAATTTTCATACATGAAAAGTCAGAATTTTGGTCAAGACCTGCTTAAATGGGTTCTACATTCGTGGACCCCCATTACGTCTTATGAACTCCCTTTTTCCGTTGACATGTATCCCTTGTAGATTAAAATTGAACCCTGGGGGTCGATGTAGACCGCTTTGGGAGTCGTAGATCTTATTTATCTACACTAATCTCATAACCAATCATGTGTAGACTGTTACGCGAACATTTAGCAAAATAGACAAATATTTATTCAAAAATAAAATCGTGTCTGTTTTGATGCTTTACCTAGGGTAGGTCAATGCTTTACATATAATTTTTTATGCCAGTTGTAGGCATTATCAATGTAACATTTTTAGTACAAAGCGTTTCATAGAATGATTGAGGAATTTCTTATTTGGATGGTCATAAAAAACCCGAGTTCGTAATACCCGGTGTGTTATCGGATTTTCTGGTCACTTCACTTGATATTCGGTCTCATGGAAATGTGCTCTTATTTTGATTCATCTTAACAACTACACTTTTCATAGTTCAAGGAGCAAAACGGTCGCAAAAATGTCTGTGTGCGCTTTCATAAATTGAGTACTTCTTTCCAAAATGTTATTTCTTTCTGAACTCTTATAGTAACGTAGTATTTCTACCACTATTGTAATAACATTAGGTTTACGTTGATACAATTGTTGGATTCATAACTCGAACATGTCACCGGTGCTTTTCATCATTCATATTTTAAAATTTCATAAAAGCTTGTCAGATATGATTGGACTTAAAGAAACAAAAAATCTAAATCTATGAAACAGGGTCACTAGATTCAGTAAGTCTTTAGTGGATTTGCGGTCTAATATTTTGTTAACATATTGAAGAAAGATCTGAAGTCATGATATTCTTTACAGTTGGCATCTAAAAGATCTGAACGGAACCACTATACACGATTTGGGGTAAATTTAGTGCTCAAAATGCTTGCATTTCATAAATATCAACGTTATACGAAATTGTTTCAAAGTGCAGTTACGAGCATTGACATAATAATGAGTTTTGTCAAATGTGACAATTTTTCGATCAATTTGAATATAATATTGAAAACTGTAGACGATTTTGACTTTGAGTATTCATATAATTTTGACGTGAACTGTACCTATATTTTACAATTATTCTAAACAAGGAGCAACAATTTACGCAAAGTAGACATTTGTAGAAAAGTAGTAATGTAAAAGTACAGTCGTCAGCATAATACTGAGTCGAGTTGGCGCGGCGGCGTCACTCGTCGCTTCGGGCTCACAACCTCCTTTCAAAGCATACAGCCACTCTCACACCTCACTAGTGCTCAAGGATTATTCTCAACTTCGCTGTTTAGTGTAAGTAGCGTTAAATGTGCAATATAATTCGTACGAAATACATTTTCTAGGAGTGCTGCTTTCAAAAAAGAATATTACCGTCTATATTTTTCACGACATGCTTTATTTTGCAATTGGTTCGAGATAGTGGGACAAGTTCGACTTGTATTTGGTCGGATTTCTCAAATTATGTGCACTGAAAATAAAACGAATCAATGTGAAGTGAATGTTTAGCTTATTTGATGAATTTTTAGTGAAATCTATCGCCATATGATTGCTTAAAATTACTCCTGCAATTATTATACTGCTGGCTGCCATCATTATGCTTGATAGATTCAAATGGAAACAATATATGTACATATCTTTGTTTTTTAACGACTTCTGTAAGAAATCTATGAAAGTTTGTCTTCACTCAGTCACGTACCTTTACAGCTACCAGCGGCTGCTGACTGGAGATGTCGCTTTAATAATTGTAATATTCTTATATCTTATCTTATCTTCTATCTTACTTTTTTTTTTTTCAGTATGATTCTAGCAATTACTAATCTATGCTCCGAGTTGTTATTGTAGTAGGCAGCTTTCTGCTTAAAATTATATAAGTCATACTGTTACTGCTATTTAAATATCTGACAAAATAGGAGTAATCCGTAGTCGTCGGTGAGTATTTGTTTATACGTTTCACACGTCCGTGCAAGTTGTACCGTAGTTCACACTTTCAAACTGAGGATCGCTTTCAAGAGTCCTTTTGAAACGAGTTGGCTTATAGCGTATACTTGAGTAATTTACAGATAAGTACATACAGTAGGTATTGTGGAAATGCTTTGTTAATTTTAAATTTTAAATTCGTTAGTAGTTGTTGAATAAATTTTAATTAAAAATACCATCCCTTTTAGTTCAGATTGAATTTCGTTTTAACTAAGGGAAAACTTTACTCACTGGTAGTAAACTATACGAAGTTTAAAGTATTACTGCCCTTAAAATAAAAAAAATGTCT